TATATATATATATATATATATATATATATATAATTCATGCTGCCACCTGTAGCCATGCTGATCCCTGCTGCCTTTGCATGCCATGCTGATATCCATGATCAGACACACTATGCTATATACTTCTTCTGGAATACATTTTGATGCCTATGGTCCTTACTACTAAATACCATGTAGAATTTTTGGATCTCTTATGCTAGCTATGACCATCGTAAGATAAGTGTTCAGAATGGCCAATGAGAAGAATGCTCATTTTGATGATTAACTACAATCTGGAACTATGTATACATCCACAGTTCATACCACCTGCAACCATATTGATATCAATGATATCTATAGCCATGTTGTTCATGACTGGACCTATGCTGTTATTCCTCTTGGTACTGAAAAAAATTTTCATGTCCATGGTCCTTACTACCACTGGATAACATGTTAATTTCCATTAACCCCTCTGACACCTGTGATGATAATTTTTCTGTGTTATCAATGTGGAGATAGTTTTAGATGGCAGATTAAATCTTGGAAGTTAACAAAGTTGATATCCATAACTCATGGTGCCATCTGAAATCATGCTGATGTCAATGATCACTACTGCCTCTATTAACCAAATTGATGCCAAGATCTGACATAACATGCTATTTTTTTACTTCTGAAAACTATGTTGATGTGTATGGTCCTTCAATGTACTGGATGCCATGGTGATTTCTGATCTCTCTCCTGACACTTTTGACCAGACTAAAGAAATAACTGTGTTGCCTATGTGAATGATGTTAATTTCCAAGATTTAACCCACCATTCAAATAGAAATAGAAATGCATATTTCATATTGCCACCTATAAACATGTTGATGGCATTGATCCCTGCTGCATCATAAAAATGTTAATATCTATCATGGCACCTACAATGTTATTCCTATTGGTACAGATGTCATGTAGTTGCCTTTGGTTGTTTTTACCACCGAGTATGATAATGAAGTCACTGATTTCTCCATCAACTCCATCAACCCATGATGAGTTTAAGGTAAGTATTCTATTTTGCCAGCATGAAGAATGTTAATTTCCAAGAATTAAACTATAATCTGAAGCTAAGTGGACATCCAGAAGGCATGGTGCAACCTCCAAAAAGTTGATGTCATTCATCACTGCTGTGCCTGTTAAATATGTTGATGTCCGTGATTGGAAATACAATGTATTTCCACTATTTCTAAAAGACATGTTGGTGCCCACGATCTCCTACCAGTGAAAAACCTGTTAATTTCAATCATATCTCTGGTCATTTATACTCACAATAAAGTAAGTGGTTTGTGTTGAAAACATGAAGAATGTAAATTACCAAGATTTATCAACTAAAATTAAGAAGATAATTCATGCCATTGCTTGGAAAAAGGTGATGATTGATAAATGCTGCCTCTGTTAAACATACTGATGCCTATGATAAGACCTACAATAGTAATTTTACTATTTCAAAAAGAAATGTGGATGCCTATGGACATTATTGCAGCTAAATACCATATTAATTTCCATGATTTCTTCTCCATTTGGGAAGATGTAAAGTAGTGTTCTGATTTGCCAATGTAAGGAAGGTTGTCCATAATTGATGTAAAATGATAGACCTCTTATTTCTGGAAGCCAGATTGACATGAGGGTTCACTCTTGTCAATGGATCTGATGTGTATGTCCAATGTCTGCCCTGCCACATGAGACCATGTTGATGCAAGAATTTTGAGTCACTAACATGAAGAATGTCAATTTCCATTCCCTCACCCACCATCTGAAACCATGTTGGAATCTAATACACTTTTCAACACCGACAAATAGGATGATTTAATTGATGCCTGCTGCTTGTCAACCATATGAATGTCCATGTTTGGAAATAAATTGGTAATCCTACTATGTCTGTAAGTAATGTTGATGCCCATGATCTTCTCAACACTGGATAACAGGTTGGTTTCTGTGATCTCTCTTACTACAGTGACCATGTTAAGGTAAGTGTTCCTTGTTGTCAATATATAGAATGTTAATTTCCAAGATATAACTAACTACTTGGAACTAAGTTTATGAACATAATTTATGGTGCCACCTGAACCCTTGACCGTTTCATTGATATAGGCTGCCTCTGTTAACCATGATGATGTCTAAGTTCCCAAACCCCATGTTTCTGCTCTTGGTTTAGGAAGCCATAATGATGACTGTGATCCACGTTACCACTGAGTAATATGTGCAATTTGATGTTCACTCTGGCCCATTATGACCATAAAAGGGGAAGTGACTTTGTTGCTAATGTGAAAAAATAATTTGCCCAGAATTGAACTACCTTCTGAAACTACGTGGATATCCATAATTCTTCCTGCCACATGCAATCAGCGTATTTCATTGGTTTTGGTGATTCTGATAACAATTTTGATATCCATGATCAATTGTAGCATGCTATTCATGCTATTTATGGAAACCATGGTAGTGTGTTTAGTCTTCTTTGCCCTTGAATGTGAAATTAATGCCTATCATCTGTCCTGACACTGGGAACAACAATGATAAAAAAATTCTGTTCGTGATGTGAGGAATAATTTTTCCATGATTTTACCTGCAGTGATCTGAAACTGTTTATCTATAATTTTTAAAGCAAGCTGCAACCATGTTGACACGATTGCCTCTTTTTACCATGAGGATATCCAAGATCAGATCATCCAGAATATTCCTATTGGTCTGGAACCAATTTTGAAGACTATGTTTCTTCTTATACCTTGAAATGAAGTATATATATTATCATTCTTGTTAATTGTAAAGGTTTAAACTGTAATTAGAAACTTAGTTGATATCCATGATTCAAGGAATCACCTGTAACCATGCTGATATCATTGAACCAGCCTGCCTCTATTTATCAAAATGATGTGCAGCATATACCCTACCATGTTATTCCTACTCATTCAGGGGATACAATATTGATTTCAGTGTTTTCTCACTGAATAGCATATTGATTTCACTGAAATATCCTGCCATCTGTGAGAATGTAAAGGTAAGTGTTCGATGTTGACAGGTGAAAATGTAAATTTCCAAGAACTGAACTACCAGTTCAACTAAGTTGATATCCGCCAATCATGCTGCTTCATGCAAACAGCTGATTTCATTGATCTTTGCTGCCTCTGTTAAATATTTGATGCCCATGTTTGGAGATACCATTCAATGTCTCCTCTTTCTGGAAGCCATGTTGATGAAGGAGTATTTTCTTGTTCATGGATTTGATGTGTATGTACAATTTCAGTCCTGCTCATGAGATAGTGTTGATGCAAGAGTTTTAAATTGACAATGTAAAGAATGTTGATATACATGACCTCATCTACCATCTGAAACCATGATTCAATCAATTACACATGCTGACACCAACTAACAGGATAATTTATTTGATGTGTCCAAACTCTGCTAACCATAAGGATGTCCATGTTTGGAACTGCAATGGTAGTTTATTACATCTGAGAGTAATGTTGATGGTCATGATCTTCTTCATATTGCATACCATGTTGTATTCCATGATTTCTCTTGCTACCTGTGACTATGTTAAGGTAAGTGTTATTTGTTGCAAATCTGTATAACGTTAATTTTCAAGATTTAACTAACAATTAGAAACTAAGTTTATATACATAATATCTATGAATATATGGACACCTACACCAAGGGTAATTTCATTGATACTTGTTGCTTCTTTTTAATAATGCTAATGTCTATGTTCCAATCCCCCATGCTACTGCTCTAGTTCCTGGAAGCCATGATGATATGCTTTGCCTTCTGATCCCTGGGTATCATGTGGATTTTGATGTTTAATCTGGCTCTTTAAGACCATATTAAGGTAAGTATTCTGTGGTGCCAACATGAAAATTGTAAATTTCCAAGAATTATACTACAATCTGAAACTAAGTGGATATCTATAGTTCATACCGTCACCTGCAGTCAAGCAGTGTCATTGGTCCTGGTGGACTCTGTTAACCATTTTGATGGCCATAATCATTTATACCAAGCTACCCCTACTCCTTCTGGAACCAATTGTGTTGCATTTGGTCCTCCTTCGCCCTGGATATGATATTGATGCCCATCCTGTGTCCTATTACTGGAGACAACGTTGATAAAAATTTATGTTTGCAATGAGAAGAGTATTATTTTCCATTATTTTTAACTGTAGTGATGTGAAACTGTTTATCCATAATTTATGCTGCAACCTGCAACCAAGTTGATGTCATTGATATCCATTGCCTGTTTAACCATGTGGAGGTCCAAGGGCAGATCAACCTGGATATTTCTATTGGTCATGAAACCAAGTAGAAGCCTGTGGTTTTCCTTATCTGTTGAAATGAAGGTGAAGTCAATCATCATTCACATTAATTGTAAAGCTTTTTCTTACAATTGGAAACTTGGTTGTTGTCCATGATTTAAGGGGTCACCTCCAACTATGTAAACAAGATTGATCCAATCTGCCTCTGATACCCAAATTGATGTGCAACATAGAACCTGCCATGATATTCTTACTAGTTACAGATACCATGTTGATGTCTGTGTTATTTCCTACCCCCGAATAGCAAATTGATCTTCCTGAGCTCTCCTGCAATCTATGAGAATATAAAGGTAAGTATTAGGTGTTGGCAAGGTGAAAATGTAAATTTCTAAGAACTGAACTACCAACTAAACTAAGTTGAAATTCACCAATATTGCTGCTACCTGCAAACAAACTTATGTCATTGATGTTCATGCTTGGATGTACAGTTTGATGCCTCCTATTTCTGGAAGCCATGCTGATGCAAGAGTTATTTCTTGTCCATGGAGCAATGTGTATATCCAGTGTTGGTCCTGCTGCATGAGATCATTTCGAATCAAGAATTTTGATTTGACAATGTGAAGAAAGTAAATTTCCATGATGTCATCCACCATATGAAATCATGTTTCAATCGATTATACAATGACAAATAGCATGATTTAATTGATGTCAGCTGGCTATGCACCTCTATGTTTTGAGTTGCAATGGTATTCCTACTACTTCTGGAAGTAATGTTGATTCTCATGGTCTACGTAACATTGGATACCAGGTTGCTTTCCATGATCTCTCCTGCTACCTATGACCATGTTAAGGTAAGTGCTTATTTTTGCCAATGTGTAGAATGCTAATTTCCAAGATGTAACCGACCACTAGAAAGTAAGTTTATATACATAATTCATTGACACACCACCACCCACGGCCATTTCATTGATCCCTACTGAATCTGTTAATAATGTTAATGCCTATATTCCAAACCTTCTCTCTATTGCTCTTTGTTTTGGAAGTCTTGATGATAATCGTGGTCCCTGTGACCACTGGATATCTTATAGATTTCGACATTCACTCTGGCTCTATATGGCCATATTAAGGTAAGTGTTCTGTGTTGGTAACATAAAAAAATGTAAATTTTCATAAACTGAACTACCATCTGAAACTTACTGGACATCCATAACTCAGGCTGCAATATATGCAGTCTTGCTTTGTCATTGATCCTGGCAGACTCTGCTAACCCTTTTGATCAATTTTACCATGCAATTCTTACTATTTCTGGAAGTCTTGATGAAGTGGTTGGTTCTCCTTGCTCCTCAATATGACGTCGATTTCCATCCTGTGTCCTTGGAGACAACTTTGATAAAAACTTCTGTTTGCAATACGAAGAATATTATTTTCCATGATTTTACCTGTAGTTATATGAAGCTATTTATCCAAAAGTTTTGCTGCAACCTGCAACCAAGTTGATGTCATTGATATCCATTGCCTTTGTTTACCACGTGTATGTTCAAGAGCAGAACAACTGGGCTATTGCTATTGGACTGGGAGCCAAGTTCAAGTCTGTGATTCTTCTTATCTGTTGAAATGAAGTGGTTGTCCATCATCTTTCCTGTTATTTTTAAAGATTTAACCTATAACTGTAAATTCAGTTGATATCCATGATTCATGGAGTCATGTGCAACCATGTTGATATCATTGATCCATTCCGCCTCTGATTGCCAAATTGATGTACAACAAAGTACAGACTATGTTTCTATTAATTCTGGATACCATATTCATACCTGTGATACCTTTTGCCACTGAAGAGTATATTGATTTATTTGACCTGTCCTGCCATGTGTGAGAACATAAACCTAAGTATTGGAGTTGTAAAGGTGAATAATATAAATTTCCAAGAACTGCTCTAACAACTATACTAAGTGGAAAGCTCCCAATCATACTGCTCCCTGCAAATAAGCTGATGTCATTTTTTTCCCTGATATTTCTATTAACCATTTGATATCCATGATTGGGCATGCCAATTTGTGCCTCCTATTTTTGGAAGTCATGATGATTCAAGGGTTCTTTCTTGCCCATGAATCTAATATTCAATCAGATGTTTAATATCTGTCCTGCTACATGAGATATTGTTGATGCAAGGGTTTTGGGTTGTCAACATGAAGAATGTCAATTTCTATGACCTCATCGATCATCTGAAATCATGTTGCAATTGATTATACATGTTGACACCAACAAATAGGACAATTTAATTGATGCCTCCTGCCTCTGCTAACCCTATGGATGTCCATGTTTGGAATTGCCGTGGTGTTCTTACTATATCTGGATGTAATGTTGATGGTTATGATCTTCTTAACTCTAGACTCAATTTTGCATTCCATAATCTTACCTCCTACCAATGATCATGTTTAGGTAAGTGTTATTTGTTGCTAATGTGAAGAATGTCCATTTCCATGACATCAACCATCATCTGATTTCATGTTTCAATTGATTATACATGCTGACACTGAAAAACAGCATGATTTAATTGAAGCCTGTTGCCTCTGCTAACAATATGCATGCCTATGTTGAGAACTGCAATAGTATTTTGACTAATTCTGGAATTAATGCTGATGCACATGATCTTATCAATACTGGATAACAGATTGTTTTCCGTGACCTCTCATGTTACCTGTGATCATGTAAAGGTAAGTGTTCATTTTTCCAATGTGTAGAATGTTAATTCCCAAGATCTAACAAACCACTAAAATCTAAATTTATAATTCATATACATGGCCTCCTGCATCAATGACCATTTCATTGATCCTTGCTGCCTCTCCTAACCATTTTGAAGTGTATGTTCCAAAGCTCCATTATATTGTTCTTTCTTTTGGAAACCATGTTGATAAATTTGGTCCATGTCACTGACCACTGGATAGCATATGGATTTCAAAGTTCACTCTGGCACTTTATGATCATATTAATGAAAGTTTTCTATGTTGCCAACTTGAATGTAAATTTCTATGAAATGAACTACCATCTGAAACTAAGTGGATATCCGTAATTAATGCCACCCCCTGCAATCTTGCTATGTCATTGGTCCCGGTGGACTCTGTTAACCATTTTGATGTTCATGATCAATTGTACCATGTTATTCCTACTATTTCTGGAAGTCTTAGTGAAGTGTTTGGCTCTCCTTTTTCCTGGATATGACATTGATGCCCATACTGTGTCCTACCTCTGCTGTCAACTTTGATAAAACATTGTGTTTGCAATGTGAAGAACATTATTTTCCATGATTTTACCTATAGTTATCTTAAACTATTTATCCATAAGTTTTCTTGCAACCTGAAACCAAGTTGATGTCATTGATATCCATCGCCTCTGTTAATCATGTGGATGTCCAAGAACAGTACAACTGGGCTATTTCTATTGGACTGGGAGCCAAGTTGAAGTCTGTGTTCTTCTTAACCCTTGAAATGAAGTTGTTTTCCATCATCTTTCATGTTATTTTTAAAGGTTTAACCTATAACTGTAAACTCAGTTGATATTCTTGATGCAGAGTCACTTGCAACCATGTTGATCTGTCCTATCTCTGTTTACCAAATTGATGTACTACAAAGGACCTACTGTGCTATTTCTATTCATTCTGGTGCCATGTTTATATCTGTGTTTCCTCCTACATTGATTTCATGAGCTCTCCTGCCATCTGTGAGAATGTAAACCTAATTGCCCAGTGTTAATAAAGGTGAAGAATGTCAATTTCTGAGAACTGAACTACCAACAAAAGCAAGTGGTCAGCTCCTAGTCATACTGATGCCTGCAAATAAGCTGATGTCATTGATCCCTGATACCTCTGTTAACCATTTGATATTCATGATTGGACATACCTATTTATGCATGCTATCTTCTATCTGGAAGTCATGATGTTGCAAGTGTTCTGTCTTGTCCATGGATCTGATGTGTATGATCAATGTCTCTCCTGCTTCATGAGACCATGTTGATGCAAGGGTTTTGAGTTGTCAACATGAAGAATGTCAATTCCCATGACCTCATCTACCATCTGAAACCATTTTGCAATCAATTATACATGTTGACACTGACAAATAGGATGGTTTAATTGATGCCACCTACCTCTGATAATGCTATGGATTCTCAAGTTTGTGAATGTAATGATATTCTTACTACATCTGGGTGTAAGGTTGGTGGTTATGATCTTCTCAACTCTGCATATCATTTTGCATTCCATGAACTCACCTCCTACCTATGACCATGTTAAGTGTTATTTGTTGCCAGTATGAAGAATGTCAATTTCTATGACATCAGCCACCATCTGAAATCTAGATTCAATTGATTATACATGTACATCCTTTAAAACAGCAAGATTTAATTGAAGCCTGCTGCCATAAACATAATCATACATATGGCTATGTTTGAAATTGCAATGGTATTCTGACTACTCTGAAAGTAATATTGATGTTCATGACCTTCTCAACACTGGATAACAGGTTGCTTTCCATGATCTCTACTGCTACCTGTAACCATGTTAAGGTAAGTGTTCATTTTTGCCAATGTGTAAAATGTTAGTTTCCAGGATTTAACTAACCACTAGAAATTAAGTTTATTGACATAATTCTTATGTATACTTGGCTGCCTGCAGCATTGGCCATTTCATTGATCCTGCCTCTGTTTACCACGCTGATGTCTATATTTCAAACCTCCATGGTATCTTGTTTGTGGAAGCCATGATGATATGCTTTGTCCATCTGATCACTGGATATCATGTGGATTTTGATGTTCACTCTGGCCCCTTATAACCATATTAAGGCAAGTGTTCTGTGCTACCAACATGGAATTGTAAATTTTCAAGAATTAAACTACAATCTGACTAAAAGGATATCCATAGTTCATTATGCCACCTGCAGTCAAGCAATGTCATTGGTCCCAGAGGAATCTGTTAATCATTTAGATGTTCATGATGTGCCATGCTATTCCTATTTCTTCTGGAAACCATGGTGATGTGTTTTGTCCTCCTTATATCTGGATATAATGTTGATGCACATCCTGTGTCCTGAAACTAAAGACATTAAGAAAAAGTTCTGTTTGCAATGTGAAGAATATTATTTTCCATGATTTTACCTTTAGTAATTAAAAATGTTTATTCATAATTTATGCTGCAACCTTCAACCAAGTTGATGTCATTAATATTTATTGCATGTTTCGTCATGTGGATGTCCAAGTGCAGATCAAGCAAGCTATTCCTATTGGTCATGTAGCCAAGTAGCAGCCTCTTTTATTTTAATCTGTTGAAATGAAGGTGATGTCCATCATCATTCACATTAACTGTAAAGCTTTTACTTTTAATTGAAAACTCAGTTGATATCCATGATTCAAGGGATCATCGCCAACCATGTAGATAATATTGATCCAACCTGTATCTGTTACCCAAATTCATGTGCAAAATAGAACCTACCATGATAGTCCTACTAGTTACAGATACCATGTTGATGTCTGTGTTATTTTTTCTCACTGGATAGTATATTGATTTCCCCAAGCTCTCCTGACATCTGTGAGAACATAAAGGTAAGTGTTTGGTGTTGGCAAGGTGAAGAATGTAAATTTCAAAGAACTGAACTACCAACTAACCTGAGTTGATATCCACCGATATTCCTGCTAACTGCAAACAAGTTTATGCCATTGATTCCTGTTGACCTTTCCTGATGCCAATGAGGAGATTAACAGTTTTATGCCTCCTATTCCTGGAAGCCATGTTGATACGAGTGTTCTTTTTTTGTCCATGGATCATATATATATATATATATATATATATATATATATATATATATATATATCCAGTGTCAGTCCTGCCACATAAGATCATATTGAATCAAGAGTTTTGAGCTGTCAATGTGAAGAATGTGAATTTCTGTGATCTTATCCATCTTCTGAAATTATGTTTCAATCATTAATACATGCTGAGAATGAAAAATAGCATGATTTCATTGATGCCTTCAGCCTCTGCTAACCATGTGCATCTCTGTGTTTGAAACTGCAACGGCATTCTTACTACTTCTGGAAGTAATGTTGATGTTCATGATCTTCCCAACATTGAATCCCAGGTTGCTTTCCATGATATCTCCTGCTACCTATGACTATGTTAAGGTAAGTGTTCATTTTTGCCAATGTATAGAATGTTAATTTCCAAAATGTAACTAACTACTAGAAACTAAGTTTATATGCATAATTTTTGATGCTACCAGCACCCATGGTCATTTCATTGAGCTCTGCTGCCTCTGCTAATTTATGTTGATGTCTGTGTCCCAAACCTCCATGCCATTGCTCTTGTTTATGGAAGCCATGATGATAAATTTGGTCCCTGTTACCACTAAATATCATATGGATTTTGATGTTCATTCTGGCCCTTTATGACTGTATTAAGGTAAGTGTTCTATGTTGCCCACTTGAAGAATGTAAATTTCTACAAACTGAAAAACCATCAGAAACTAAGTGGATATCTAATTTATGCTGCCACTTGCAATCTTGCTGCTTCATTTATTTCCGGCTTACTCTATTATCCATTTTCACATTTATGATCAATTGTACCATGCTATTCATACTATTTCTGGAAGTCCTGTTGAAGTGTTTGGTTCTCTTGGCCCCTCCTGAGATGTTGATGCCCATCCTGTATCCTGCCCTTGGAGATAACTTTCATAAAAACTTCTGTTTGCAATGTGAGAAAATCAGTCATTGATATCCATTGCCTCTGTTTACCATGTGGATGTTCAAGAGCAGAACAACCAGGCTATTCCTATTGGTTTAAGAGCCAAGTTGAAGTCTGAGATTCTTCTTATTCCTTGAAATGATTTTTTTCCAGCATTTTTCCTGTTATTTTTAAAGATTTAATTTATAACTGTAAACTCAGTTGATATCTATGATTCAAGGAGTCACTTGCAACCATTTTGATATCATTGACCCACTCTGAATCTGCTTACCAAATTGATATACAACAAAGGACCTACTATGATATTTCTGTGCATTTTGGATACCATGTTTATATCTGTGTTACCCCTACCACTGAAGAGCATATTGATTATCTGAAGTTTCCTGCCATCACTGATAATATAAATGTAAATGTTCGGTGTTGAAAAGGTGAATAATGTAAATTTACAAGAACTAAACTACTAACTCAACAAAGTGGACAGCTCCCAATCATACTGGAGCCTTCAAATAAGCAGATATCATTGATCCCTGCTACCTCTGTTAACCATTTGATGTCCATGATTGGACATAACAATTTATGGCTCCTATATGGAAGTCATGATGATGTGATGGCTCTTCCTTGTTTATGGATCTGATGTGTATGTTCAATGTCTGTCCTGTTATATGAGACCATGTTGATACAAGTGTTTTGAGTTACTAATGTTAAGAATGTCAATTTCTATGATCTCATCTACCATCTGAAACGATGTTGAAATGTATTTCACATGCCGAGCCTCACAAATAGAATAATTTAATTGATGCCTCTTACCTCAACTAACTCTTTGGATATCTGTGTTTGGAACTGCAATAGTATTCTTACTACATCTGGAAGTAATGTTGATGGTCATGATCTTCTAAACTTTGCATACCATTCTGTATTACATCATCTAACCTCCTACCTATAACCATGTTGGTAAGTGTTATTTCTTGCCAATGTGAAGAATGTCAATTTCCATGACATCAGTCACCACCTGAAATCATGTTTCAATTTATTATACATGCTAATACCAAAAAAGAGCATGAATAATTGAAATCTGCTTCCTCTGCTAATGATATGCATGTCCATGTTTAATATTGCAATGGTATTCTAACTACATTTGGAAGTAATGTTGATGCTCATGAAGTTCTCAACACTGGATGTCAGGCTCTTTTCATGATCTGTAATAATGTTTAGGTAAGTATTCATTTTTGCCAATTCATAGCATGTCAATATCCAAGATTTAACTAACCACTAGAAACTAAATTTATATACATAATTCATATGTATATATGGCCACCTGCACCAATGGCCATTTCATTGATTTTTGCTGCCTGTTTGCCATGTTTATGTTTCAAATGTCCATGCTATTACTCTTATTTATGGAAGCCATGATGATATGCTTTGTCCTTCTGACCGCTGGATATCATGTGGATTTTGACAATCACTCTGCCTTTTATGACCATATTAAGGCTAGTGTTCTGTGTTTCTAATGTGAAGAATATAAATTTCCAAGAATTAAATTACAATCTGAAACTAAGTGGATATCGATAGTTCATGCTGCCACCTGCAGTTAAGCAGTGTCGTTGGTCCCCATGGACTCTCTTAACCATTTTGATGTCCATGAAGAGTTGTACCATGCAATTCCTACTCCTTCTGGAAACCACGGTGATGTGCTTTGTCCTTTTGTCCCTTGACATGATATTGATGCCCATGTTGTGTTCTCCCACTGGAGACAACACTGGTGTAACTTCAGTTTGCAAGTAAAGAATTTTATTTTCCATGATCTTACCTATAGTGGTATGAAACTGTTTAGCCATATTTTATGCTGCATCCTCCAATGAAGTTGATGTCATTGATATGCACTGCCTCCGTTAACCATCTGGATGTCCATGAGCAGGCCAAACAAGCTATTCCTATTGGTCTGTAAATTAAGTTGAACCCTCTATTTATTCTTATCCCTTGAAATGGATTTGACGTCTATCATCTTTTTGATAATTGTAATGGTTCAACCTATAATTGGGAACTTGTTTGATATCCATGATTCAAGGAATTACCTATAACCATGTTGATATCATTTCTCTAGCCTGCTGGTGTTTACCAAATTTGATATACAACATAAGACATACCATGTTTTTGATTATTCATTCTGGATAATATGATAATGTCTGTTATTTCTTATCACTGAATAGCTTTTTAGTTTTCCTGACCCCTTCTGCCATCTGTGTGAATGTAAAGGTAAGTGTTCCCTGTTGGCAATGTAAGGAATGTAAATTTCCAGGAACTGAACTACCAAATAAACTAAGTTGATATTCACCAGTCATGCTGCTGCCTTCAAACAAACAGATATCACTGATTCCTGCTGCTGCTGCTAACAATTTTGCTGTCCACGATTGGGCATACCAGTCCATGCCTCCTATTTCTGGAAGTCACATTGCTGCAAGGGTTCTTTCTTGTTCATGAATGTGATGTGTATATCCAATTTCTTTCCTTCTCATGAGACATGTTGGTGCAAGGCTTTAAAGTTGACAATGTGAAGATTGTCAATTTATATGACCTCATCTACAAAATCAAACCGTGTTTCAATCAATTATATGTGCTGACACCAACAAATGGTAAGGTTTTTATGATGTGCCTAACCTCTGTTTACCATAAGCATGCCCATGCTGGGAATTTCAATGGTGTTTTTACTACATCTGGAGGTAATATTGATGGTCATGACCTACTCAACATTACATACCTTGCTGCATTCCATGATCTTTTTTTCTACCTGTGACCATGATAAGGTAAGTGTTCTTTGTTTATGTAGAATATTAAATTCCAAGGTTTATCTAACCCCTAGAAGCTAAGTTTATATATGTACTTCTTGGGGCCACATGTACCCTTTGCCATTTCATTGATCTGTGTTCCCTTTGTTAACTATGTTGAAGTCTATGTTCCAAACCTCCATGTTATTGCTCTTGGGTCGGGGGGCAATTATGATGTCATAATCATTGATACAAACTGATATCGTGGATTTTCATGTTCACCCTGACTCTTTATGACCCTATTATGGCAAGCATTCTGTGTTGCCAATGTGAAGAATATAAATTTCCAAGAATTAAACTAGAATCTGAAATGAAGTGGATATTCAGAGTTCATGAGACTGACTGCAGTCAAACAATGTCATTGATGCGGGTGGACTCTCTTAAGCATTTTGATGCCCATGATCAATTGTACCATGCTATTCCTACTTTTTTTCTGGAAACTATGGTGAGGCATTTGTTCCTCCTTGCCTTGGATATGACATTATGCCTATCATGTGTCTTGTCACTGGAGACAACACTGATTATAAGTTCTATTGCAATGTGAATAATATTATTTTTCATGATTTTACCTGTAGTGTTCTGGAACTGTTTATCCATAATGTATGGGGCAACCTCCAGTGAAGATGATGTCATTGATATCCATTGCCTCTGTTAACCATGAGGATATCCAAGAATAGACCAACTAGGCTATTCTGGAAGCCATGATAGCCTCTAGTTGTTCTTATCCATTTATATGAAGTTGATGTCCATCAATTTGATGTCATTAAGATCCATTGCCTCTGTTTACCATGAGGATGTCCAAGAGCAGACCAGCCAGGCTCTTCCTATTGGTCTATAAGCCAATTTGAAGCCTGTGATTATTTTTATCCCTTGAAATGAAGTTTATGTCCCTCATCATTCCTGTTGATTATAGAGGTTTGACCTATAATTGGAAACTCAATTGATATTTATAACCATGTTGATAACATTCCTCCAGCCTGCCTCTGTTTACAAATTGATGTGCAACATAATACCTACCTTGATTTTCCTATTCATACTCAATACCATGTTAATATCTATTGCTTCTTACCACTGAATAGCTTTTTAGTTTTACTGAGCCCTCCTTCCATCAGTGAGAATGTAAAGGGAAATGTTAGTGTTCCCAAAGAGAAGAATATAAATTTGCAAAGAACTGAACTACTGTTGACTAAATTTTCTGTTCTGCCCAGTTTCCACAGTCATTAAGTCTCAAAGAATTCACACAGAGGTCTACATTAGTTATAAACTGATTGGTCCCTTAGCTCAGGCTTCTTATTAACTTGGTGTCTTGGGACCTTATTCAGCGAAGTAGGCACATCTTGCTTTTTCTGTGGCTGGATCATGACTGCAGACCAAGCTTTCCTCCTCCCAGAATTCTCTTGTTCTTGTCACCCCACCTATATTTGCTGCCTTGTTGTCCTGCCTGTACTTCCTGCCTGGCTACTCGCCAATCAGCCTTTTATTAATATACAGTTGACAGGATACAACCCATTGTCCCACAGCAAACTACCAACTAAACTAAGTTGATATTTACCAGTCATGCTACTGCGTGCAAATGTGCTGATATCATTGATCCCTGCTGCCTCTGTTAACAATTTTGT